GATTTTTCTTTTACAATTGTCAATTTTTATTTTCTGTCAGAGTGATTAAGAAACCGTTATTCTCTGTCAGTGTGTGTGTGTCACAGAGAGAGAGAGAGAGTCATTTTCAAGCCCATCAAAACTTGGACTTTCTGCAATAAACTCTCTTAACCCCTTGCAGATTTTCTCCACCAGGCTAGAATTACAAAGCATGGATGAGGTCTCCACATCATATTTATCCATTATCATGAATTCTTATCTGTTCGTATCAAACTACAGCCAAGTCATATAAAGGGGCGGCTCAACAGTAATATTTAAAAAGCTCAGGTTTTAGGTCCAATTTTTAAAGAAGTCTCTATATTTTTAAATATTATAAATAGTACACATAAAAAAACCCTACACAAAGACCTTATAAAAATATAAGTCCAATCAAAAAAATTTAAGACCTCACTTTAAGGAAGACTCATAATTTATAGATGTACAATAATAATTCAAACAAAAAATTTAAATCCATGGTTAAATAAAATATTTCAACTTAAATAAATTGGGCCTATTAATTCAGCCGTAAAATTAAAAGACTCTAAAATTTATTTTTTAAAATAAAGAAAAAAAACTAACTGTAAAACTAAAACTACTAAAAAAATCAAATTTAAACTTACCACCATAATTTTTTAATCATTCTTTCTCTCTCTTACCATTAAATTGAAATATGTTAACAAAAACTTGAATATAAAATTTTAATTAATATTTTTTGTATTTAAGAAAATTAAAAATTAAATTTATTTTTAATATTAAAAATAAAAAAGCTTGATTTAATAGCTTGATATATATATATAAATGAAGCCCAATGGCTATTTTGGCATCTTTAGTCAAGCACTTGACTATTCACCTTCATCTTACTTAGAATAATCTCTATTCACTCTCTCTTGATTGACATGGAAATTTGTAACAATTTCTTTTTAAGCTCACGCACGCACTAGACCAAATTCTCGTAACATGGCCATGTCTCGACCTTCTGCAGACATCATTGTAATCTCATCTAGGTAGGGCGGAGCCAAAATTTTAATTTAAAGACCAGTTGATATAGCTATTATAGCGTTGGGCAATTTTAAGTGCACTATAAGAAATATATCAAAAATAACAACCAAGTTTTTAGAAGGAAAAAAATGAAAACTAACATTATTCAGCCTTTAAAGCTATGGAACAAAAGAAAAAAAAATGTAATACTCGTTGTCTTAGCGCATTACACCTGCATCTCCTAAACAAATAAGGCTCGAAAATATTTCATGTCCTGAAAATAATCTATAATTGTTTTTTTTTTAATTTTTGAGTATTTTTTTTGTCAATATACATAATCAACGGAATCACCTGTAAACTGTCATTTTTTGCTAAAACTCCTAGTTTTGATGAAATGTATAGAACAAAATAATAAAGCCCATGCCCAACAATTTGAAAGATCATTGAAATACAACTCATAACACACACACACACACACACACACACATATATATATATATATATATATATATATATATATATATATATATATATATATATATATATATATATGTATATTTTTTTTTGACTTGTTCAAGAAATAAAGGAATAAGAAATGGATGAAGTTAGACTTTTCATGTCGATTCCCAAAGTCTCTCATTCTTCTCTGATATTTTTCTAGTCCTTCTTCATATGCCAGGGTCACAACAGGAAAGGTAAACATTAGGGGGGTATGAAGTTATCATAAATGGATCTAATATGCAATAACGCATAACCGCGCCGGGCGGTGGGGGGTGGGGACCTGACATCATGGTGGCTTAAGCATGTTATTCGTCAAATACACGATAAGTGATTAATATTGAAAGAAATTAAAAAAATAAATAAATAAAGGAATCTCTTTTTCAACAGTACTGCCTCGATTGCTAAGTCCATTCTTGTCATTCTAATGAGTTGAAAGACCATTCCTTTGTCCCAAGGCTTATGAGCTATGCCTTTTAGCAGCCAAGAAATTTGGGGAAAAAAAAAAATTAAATAAATATGAGTAAAGTTAGATGGATTTAAAAACTAAACTTAAAAATTAGACTTGATAATCTTAATCATTGAATAGGTAGTAGGTTCCAATAAATACTAAGACCCACAATAAAATCAATGGTTGAAATTATCTACTCTAATTTTTAAGTCTATTTTTTAAGTCCATATAATATTGTTCAATAAATATATGTCGCTAAAAACAACCAAGAAAATTTTTTAGCCCCACCGACTAGTAAACCAATCAGAGGGGGACTTTCCGAAAGTAACCCTCTTTCCCTTACTTATATGGTAGGCAATTCCTCAACCATAATTAAGAGATTTATTAAAAAGTGACCGAAACACCAAAAATAGTGACTAGTTGAGCTAATGATAGAGGCAAGAATACTTTCCAGCTAAATCTCATTAATTGGACACAACACTATCGTGGAAATGCTGCATAGGCCCATATATATATTGACAAAAACATAATTACATTGATACTAAACTAGATCGAGCTTGGGATCTTCCTAGCAATGGGAAGGATGGAGTGGGCTAATATAAAAATATTTGTCCATCGTGCAATAAGAAAATGCAAAAAAAGTTTGTTCTTCCCACTCTCCTAGTCCCCAATAAGTCAATAAGCACTGCTAGTAACAACAATAAACCATAAGAAATTTCCATGCCACCCTTAGTTTGCCTTGCATCAACACCACATTGCCATTATTTTCTTAGTAATTGAAGAAACATCATTATCATGTTGCCCTGTGAATCTGCGATAGCTTCCTAACTTGCTGGCTTCCATAGGAAACCCATATTAGAGATTTTTCTTCCTGGTAGCATTTTGAACAACTTAAAAAATCCTGGCATGTGACAGCTCAAGTAGATACTTATCATGCGGAAAAATCTAGTTCTCAAAGAACGACATGGTGTAGCCTTCATGTTGCCACATCAACAGGAGGATTTTTTTTGAAACGTTTGATGCTTGCTTTACATGGAGAGATATTAGTGCTTATGAAAGATCTCAAAATCGGAAGAAATTAAAAGAGGGGACAGAGAGCAGGGGACCGCAACAAGATTTCTAAACTTTACGGTAGGCTTGTATCGGGCGAAACGGGTTTGTGTTGAGTTTTAACGAGTTTATGTTAAAAAATATTCCACCCATACCAATTTTTTTTATTAATTTGTGTCTAATAAATCGTGTCATATCAGATTCGTATCGTTTATTTCTTTTGATTGATTTCACTTATACCAAATTTATTTATTAATAATGTCGTGTTAGGTCTACTAGTTTATGAAAAGGATGGCTTATGAACAAGGACGGAGCCAGAAATTTTGGTCAGAGAGGACACTTTAATTATGCACTCTAATTTTTTCCTATTTACCAATAACACTATATAATATATTTATATTTATTATATTATATTTGATACATGAAGTTCATTTAACATAAAAAATGCCAAAAAAATATATATATTGTCAGGGGAGAAGCCATGAGTGTTTATGGGGGGGCAAAATATAATTGGTATAAAAAAAATTTAGTTGAAATTGATACAAAAAAATTCAGTTCAAGAATGACAAAAAAATAAGAATCAAAATAAAATTATTGTGAAATAGTAAATTCAATTTTTATTTAGTCAAAACAAAATATTAACAAAAAGACACAAAAAAAAAAATTTAGTACATTTTTAACCTAGTTATATATGTCAATAAAATATAAAAAAATTTAAAATCTCTACAATTTTGTATATGAATTAAATGTAAATTAATTTTTCACTAATTTTCTATCAATGCGCACAATCACAAGTCCCTAGTAAATTTATTTTTTATTTAGTTGCAAAATTTGGTTGAGATCATTATCATCTTATAGAGAAATTTTCTATCCGAAATAGTTTGAAATATTTTTGGGTTACAATCTTTTGTCTTTTGTATACAATCGTATTTTATTAGGTTATAGACTATTATTACTTAAAAAATGGTAAATGAGAATTAAAAATTGTTCTTAAAAAATAACGAATATTGTGTTACATAAATAGAAATATTGTATATTTGTCAATATACAAATAGATCATTAACTCAATTCAAAACTTACATATTTATTTTAAAGGGATAGTGGTCCGCTAATTTATTGAAAAAAAAAAAGACTAGAACCATTAAAATTTTCAAAAATTTAGGGGAACAAATATAATATATAAAATAATTTTATGGGTTTTCATTTAAGGTGGTCCAAAAGTGAGGGGGGAAGTGCTTGATCCGTCCAAAAGTGAGGGGGGAAGTGCTTGATCCCCATGTTGCTCCGCTCATGCATAAAATTTATGTAACAAAATTTATAGTAAATTAACTGTAGTTCGTTGGATTATTGATGACACTCACTGATTTAACGGCTACAAGAGATTTGATGTAAGTTTTTGTGTATATTTTTAGTGCACGTAGTATTATTTAAAATAAATACCAAATCTCTCTAATTTTGTATCTTATTAACGTAATATTAACGAATTATTTTGTATTTTAACAATTTTATCTCAAAAGAGATCAATAGTAGGAAAAGGAGGCAATCCAACAAAAAGGTCTCCTTCAAATTTAGTGGGGGAAGAAATTGACAGTGAAAGGACAGGCAAGTTTTCAATCAGAAACTCATTCTCATCCTTAGCAGTAGGGCCCACTAGAAATCCCTTGATTTCAAAACATAACCAATCACAAAACAGACATCAGGATGAACTTTCCAAGCTCAGCCAATTAGAGAAAAGATAAGGGCCATAGGGCCTAACACTGGTCCCAAAAGCGCAACCCAGCTCTGTAGACCAAGTCCCAAAAGTCCATAAAAGAAGAGTCTCGAGCTCTAAATTAGACTGTAGCAGTTTGGTCTGTGGGTCACATACCCCAGTACACAAATAATTGTACCATTTTCGAGCTCTCTACCTGTAGAACAAACCCAAAACTTCCCATTCTGATCAGATCTTCCCTTGCTAGATTTGAAAAGTCTTTAAGTTTTCGATCAAAATACAGCGATTTTGTCAATGGTTTCAGAAAAAAAACTGGCAAACGCTGTTGGTGGCAAAACGGCTAGAGCCTGTGATAGTTGCATAAGAAAGCGAGCTCGGTGGTACTGTGCCGCCGATGATGCTTTCTTATGCCAAACTTGTGATGCTTCTGTGCACTCGGCGAACTCTTTGGCTCGTAGACACGAAAGGGTTCGTCTCAAGACGGCATCGATCAAACCCTCGGAGGAAGCTCCAATAGAGAATTCTTCTTCACCATCATGGCACCGTGGGTTCACCAGAAAAGCTCGAACGCCCCGACATGGATCGAGGAAACCAAAAACCGAAGAGCTAATACGATACCCACTTCATTTAGTGCCGGAGCTAGGCAGTGATGAGAATTCACATGAAGAAAGTGACGAGCAGCTTATTTATAGGGTTCCAATTTTCGATCCATTTGTTGCAGAACTATGCACTTCTGCGAATCAAAATGAAGTGGGAACGAGAGTTAACAATGATTCAGAGGCTAAAGGTGTTGTTGGGGATGAATCCAAAGCTATGTTACATGATTGTGGACCTCATGATTTGAATGGTTTTAATGGGTTTCTTCCTTCTGAAATGGAACTTGCAGAGTTTGCAGCTGATGTTGAAAGCTTACTGGGAAAAGGTCTGGAAGACGAATCATTTGATATGAAAGGGCTAGGGCTTTCGGATTGCCGAGAGAAGGACTCAATGGAGGGCTCTTCAAGTGGAAAAGTGAAGGTTGAAGATGAAGAAGAAGCTGAAGTTGCTATGGCTAACCAAGTTGATTTGGAGATTGACATGGCACGAGAACCATTTGAGCTGAATTTCGACTTCAATTCTCCGGCGACATACGAGGAATTCGACGATAAGGTCGGAGCTGAAGGGACCACTGTGAAGAATGATGAAGATTGTGAAGTGGGTGACATGACCAAGAAGAAGATTTTATTGAGGCTTGATTATGAGGGTGTAATCACAGCCTGGGCCGACCAAAGGTCTCCGTGGACCACCGGTGAACGGCCGGAATTGGACCATATTGGCTATTGGCCTGAGTTCATGGTAGGTCTTATTTTGGGGTCGCTTACATATTGTTCATTAGTTAATGCATGACACTTCGTTAGTCATTCCCTGAAAGAGAGACTATTAAACATGCAAATCAATCGGAACTCATACACTATATATCCAACTCATACTTCAAAATTCCCACTCTTGGCTAATTTGTAAGAAGAACATATGTGAGACAGAATAAATGTTTGAGAGATGAAATTGTTAGGAATTAACTTCTTTAACCAAGAATCCGATATGCAATAACAAAAGAAAAGACAAACATACAAAAAAATCATGCACAAGAACACATAGTTTTACTTGAAAAATTCAAATTTGAAAGAAAAAAACAAGGAGTCGCAACCAAATTAACTATGAAACGAACAAAATACAAAGTGAAATATATATTAGGTTGTGGTGGATATAAGCATATAGCGTTAGGGATACAACTTACAAACAAGAGTGACAGCATTAAAATAGTATCTTTTTACTAGAAGTACCAATTTTTACCTACATTTTTGGCGATGGATAGGTGAGATGTCTAGTACTATTTATGTACAGTAATTGTGAAAGTCCTTATTAAACATAATTGTCAATAATTTCTCAAATCTTAGTGGTGAGTTGACCCCCCTTTCCGAGCCTTTGCTACTCTTAGATATGCCATTAGGGTCACGTACACTAGATCGCTGTGGCCGGAGATGTGCATGAAATATTGATGAATTCAAATACTAACATGTCATTATCAAGAAGGGGCTTGTATTGACTATTGAGATTAACATGGTTTTATGGTGAAATTTGTAGGGTGCTTGTGGGGCATTTCATCATCCCTATGGAGATGTAGGAATAATGAGCGGACACAATACAACGGCGGATAGGGGGAGAGAAGCCCGAGTTCTAAGGTATAGAGAGAAGCGTCGAACCAGATTGTTTTCGAAGAAAATAAGGTATGAGGTGCGGAAATTGAATGCAGAGAAAAGGCCTAGAATGAAAGGTAGGTTCGTTAAGAGCTCCAGTTTTGCTGGACCAAGGTTTCCTTTGCTTGGCAAATAACTCCAACTTCAAGTTCACAAATTCATTAATAAGCCCGGTGTTTGTACAAATTCTGCAAATAATTAGCAATGCTATGAAAATTTTGCTTATCCTTCTGAGATACTCTCTCTCTCTCAAATTACCAGCAATCCTACCACTTTGATATAGGTTGGAGGACAATCACCATTACCACCAAACTAAACAGAAAGTTGTCAAAATATTATAATTAGCTTTTATGTTGTTTATTTTTTCCTATTGTGCCCGCAAAGGAGCACACACTGGTCCAACGCAAACATGGATATAACAAGAGATAAAAACCAAGCAGAATAGAACACAGTTTGGTGCGTATGAAAATCCTAATGATTTGTTTTTGTGGTTTGGTAACACGGAATTTTCTTAAGTATATGAATTTTGGACTCGTGACTGATAAACAAACTTGGATACACATATAATATACTAACCACATGTATCGGATAAATCCAAATTTTATGCAACTAATCGGCTCGAACTTACAAGATGTATGTTTACACTTCACTTCTTGCTCAAATACTAAACCAACTCGTTAGGTTGGTAGTGCTCAGTTGCATTCGGAAATGAATCCACCCAAATGGAAGTATGGTTAATGTTGAAATATAAACATATTTAAGTTACAATCGTTAGAGTAAGATGTTTGTTTATTATGGTATACAGAACAGGGTGAAATCATGTGTTCAAACTCGTCCGATACCCTAACTATTAAAAATATTTTATGTGCTAGACCTAAAATT